TCTCTTGCCCTTTAAGTGAAAGGGCCTTCCAAGCCTTTATAGCTGCAGTAGAAATCTGAGTATATACTGGCCATGGATATCTATCCAAAAGCTCCTGCCATAATCCCTTCCAATTTAGATATGATCCCATATTAGGGAGAACAGCCTTCACCACAAATTGCCAATCAGAGGGAGTCATATTCATTCCCCCCATACGTTCTAACAGGGACAAAGTATAATTGGCATGAAGACCATATTGCTTTACAGACATGGCCAATTCTCGCACTAATGCTGCATCTACCTGTCTGTGAACTCTTTCCCTTTCTTCTTCTAAGACGGGGAACATATCTTGAAGTTCCCGGCGCGCGGCTGCATCGATGAAGGAAGAGCCGGCGCCATAACTCATGGGCGGGGCAGATGGCGTCACAGGAGGAGGAGCCATTGATGAAATGGCTCCAGAGTCCTGAGGCCATGGGCCACGCGTGGCCGGCGCAGTAGCACCGTCATTATCTTTCTTCTCCTTTTCTAATCCTTGTCTATTTCCTGCAGGTTTACGTTCTAAGCGCCTATCCCACTTATACCCTTCCTCAGCGTCGGAAGTCTCCGAACTTGATGAGGAAGATACTGCTTTAAGTTTCACCTTTATTTTTTGCTTCAAACCGGTTCTCCTCTCCCGCTCTGTTTCTGAGAGACTATCCTGGGCAGACTGAAGGGCTTCGTCACTCTCTCTGACCGCTCCCTTATGGGGGGCATAAACCATCTGCAAAAATTTCACCAGAGAGACCTGTGCGCCCATGTCTATAACCGATTTATGCTCCTAGTCACCCGAAAGTTCTCCCTCTCAGAGCTCCTTACCTGTCTTTTGGCCGCAGTTCTGACTTCGTCCCGTTTTGAACGGGAGGCCCCCTCCAAGTCCCGGGTTCCCGGCACCAGTTGTCGCGCCCACGTGTCTTACCGCCCAGCAATAAGACGCAGACGCGAGTGAAGCCTCCTGCGGTAAAATTTATTGTGCACACCAACATGAAGCGGAAAGAGGGTCGGATCCCGGCAGGCTTTCTACTCTTATGTGCTGTCTGGCCCCGCCTCCGCCGATGATAGGTCGGCGTCATGATTACGCAGGGTTCTGGGCGACTGGATTCGTCAGTCCCAGTGTTTACGTGCCTGCCGCGCCGCAGCTCACTGCGCATGCGCTAGGCGCCTGCGCAGTACAGTGAATGCTACGTGACTCTGCACCAAACACCAAGATGTGGCTTTTCTGGCCGGCGCCATTTTGGGTACGGCATGTAGCCAGTACATACAGATATGGCTGGCAACACAGAAACACATACAGTAATCATGTATGTGAAGATCAGGATACTTAGGACTTAAAGTCCCAGTTTCAAGCATGAGGCTGGCCTAGCATGGATTCTGGTTCAAGACGTTAAGCATTTTGGAGCTTCCACTGTTCTCTGTCTTCTGGAAACAGCTCTGGAAAAGCCATCTGCCTTGGCACACACAGCTCTGAGGAAAGGACCTGAGGCTCTAACACTGACCACCAGAGGGCGCCACAGCCCAGCCTCAGACGGGGCAGCCCTGGCTCTCAGCTCCACTGCTCCCTGGGACAGTCTGAGCAGAAGCCTTCATTCCAAACAAATGAAAACAAACAGATGTACATTTCTATGTAAAACAATGGGATACAATAAATTTTTGGTCATTGTTTCCAGTTGCTAAATTATGAGAAATTTGGTATGTGACATAATATATGAAAGAGCTTCCAAAGAGGATGATTGATTGCAATTTAACTGACAGTAACTGAAAGATGATAAATGTGTCCTTTGGCTTCAAGATACAAGAATGACCATGGTTAGTCAGGATGCAGTTAATTACTGTTCACAATCATCTATCTGACTTTCCATTTTCAACCTGGATTTAATTAAACATCAAAAGAAAGGCCAAACCAAGCAGCCTGATCCTATAGTGGCCCCTATACACACACCATGGGCAATTGCACACATCCCTGTGTTCAACCAACTGTTGATGTGGATGTCCCTGGAAGCTGATTTTTTAAATGAAATGAAGGGCCCCATCAGTGGCCCTGAGACAGGAGTTACTCTGGGTTGGACTGGCCAGTCTGGGGAACCCTCCAAAGGACCAGGCTCTCTCTCTGCAAAGATTGAAGTGTCCGTCACTGTTTGTAACAATCATTCTAATGGGGCCAGGGGACAGCACCTCGGAGTATTGATTTACATTTCCCAGACAGCTGCTATGTTGAGCATTTTCCAAATATTGGCCATTTCTAGTTCTTCCAAGAACTCCAAATTAGTTCCTTTACCCATGTCTGTACTGGACTGACTGGATTGGTTTGCTTTGGTTTATTCTGGTTTTAACAAATAGGGCAAAAATGTGTGGAAAGGAAAATCACACACAAAGTTATCAGAAATATAAATTTGTACAACTATGTTAGAAAACACTGTTAATGTTTGAACTGCAGCTTCCATATGATCCAGCAATCCCATCCTGAGCACACAACAGAAGACCTGAACTCATTGTGTCATGGAACCTGCTGCACTGCTTACAGCAGCACTGCTCACAATGGCCCAGATTTGACATCAACTAAGATGTCCATCATCAGATGAATGGATAGAGAAAATACAGTATACAAACATGATGGAATACTAATCAGCTATACAAAGAGTCCTGTCTTCTCACTTGCATCCAAATGGTTGGAACTGGAGAACATTATGTTGAGTGAAATGAGCCAGGCACTAAAACAAATATCACATGCTGTCTCATGTGGGAGCTAAAAATGGAAACAATGTATCTAAACACAGAATGTTAAGACTGGAGGCCAGAGAAGTAGGGGAGTTAAAGGAGTTGTGACCAAGATAAAGAGAGGGACTGAGAGTGGGAGGGGTTCAGTGTCAGGCATGACATCCCCCCAGTCCCTGACTCTGAGGACCCTCAGAGAGAGTAGGTGGGTGCCCTGGCTGTGAGAGCTGTTCCCCCCCTGAACCCTGACAGCTATCCCACGCACAGGACCCCAGGCCTCCACCTGCAAGGAGCTCGACTCTGCCCCAAGCTCCAAAGAGGCTGGAAGAGGACTCCAACCTCAAGGGAACAGCTCAGCTCTGTGAGAGCCTGCCCAGGGAGCACAGCCACACCAGGCTTGGACTCTGACCAGGGAATGGGAACAGGGAGGAGAGAGGTTCTGAGCACCCAGGTGTGGTAACCTGTGATGCAGGAATGAAAGCTAGCAATACCTGGGTCCCAGTGTGCACCTGACACCCCAGGGAAGTGTCAACCTTGCTGGAGGGATTCGTGAACTCTGGTGAACACTCCTCCCATGAGACAAAACCTTCTCCAATGTTTGTTGTACTGTTTTGTACACTTGTCACATGATGCAATTAAACACTAATACAGTTTTATTTGGCTCTTTGGATCAATTGAGTGCCTTTTGTCAGCATCTCTATGTGCTGGGGTTACAGCTTTGACCAACACCCCTAAGTCTGTGCTTATGGGCCCTACATTCTAGTAAAAGCGAGATGGAGCCATTTCAGTGAGTTACCTAACAGTCTACTTGTTTATATGAAAGGCAGGGTCAGGAAAGGCACTGTGGCACTGGGCAGGATAAGCTGCCACCTGCAATCCATGTACCCCAGATGAGAGCACCCGTGTGACTCCTGACTGCCCTGTTCGCTGCTCGTCCACCTGGGAGAGCAGGGGAACATGGTCCATGTGCATGGGTCCCTGCCACCACATGGAGACCTCAGTGGAGCTGTGGAATCCTGGCTCCAGCCCAGGACACAGCAACCTTTGGAGAGTGAACCAGTGGGTGAGAAATCCCTTGGGGATTTTCTGCTGCCTTCCCAGGTACATCAAGAGGAAGGTGGATGGAAGCAGAACAAACTGGACTCCAAGAAGCCCCAGGATGTGTGATGTTGACCTTGCAAATGACAGTTAACTCACTGACCCACAGCAAACTCTGCTGCTGGGCTGTTTTCATGAAGCAATGATCCCCGGACTCAAATCAGCGAGGCAGCTGACCACAGCGGGAAGTTTCCCTGAGTGGCAGGAGAGGGAACCTGCTAGGGCCTCAGCTCAAGAGTGAGAGGGGGTTGGAGGGACCACAGGGAGAGGAGGAAATGATAAAGGAAGAGCTAAGAGGAGGTGAGGACACGGGACAGGAATCTTTTGTTTTAAGATTTATTTTTATTAGAAACTCAGAAACACAGAGAGGAGGAGAGACAGAGAAAAGCTCACTCCCCAAGTGGTCACAAATGGCTGGAGTTGAGTCAATCAGAAGTTAGGAGTCCACAGCTTCTTCTGGGTCTAAAATGGGAGTCCAGGGTCCCAAGTCTTTGGGTCTTCCTCTACTACTTTCCCAGACAGGGAGTGGGGTGGGAAGCAGAGCTGCTGGGTTAGAAATGCCATCCATACGAGAGCAAGGCACATGCAAGATGAAACTTTAGCCCATAGGCCACTGGGCAGGGCCAGAGCTCAGGATTCTAAAGCAGCAGGTGCTCAGGTCTCAACATGCTGTGCCCTGAATATTAACAGGAATGTCCACAGAGCCCAGCTGGGTCCCAGCATTCCGTATTTAATGCATCCTGTGGGGCTGCCTGAAATCGAATATACTCCTGATGTGAATCAAGTTGAACAATAAAACACGCGTGGGTCTAGGTATAACTAATCATAAAAATGGGCACGTCCTGATCAGGTCTCTCAGGATCCCTCAGCCAGCCCCGGGCCTATCCTCAGGAGGGGACATCACACAGGCCTGGGCAGCCGGGCACAGGGTCAGGGCACAGTCCCTGGTACCCGCCTGGCCCTCAGGGTCTCAGTCCCAGGGCGGGTCTGGGCCAGGGAAGCAAGTGCAGGGGAGTCCTCACCTCCTCCAGGGTCACTTCCCCTCTCACAGCCTGAGTGAGCTCCTTCTGCCCGGACACTCGTGACGCGGGCACAACTCGCACTCCCATTGGGCGAGCGGCTTCCAGACGAGCCAATCAGCGCCGTCCTATCCCTTGTATAAAGTCGACTGCGAGGCTTCAGGATCGGAGTCCTCTGAGCTGTCCAGGATGGGGTTCATGGAGCCCCGGACCCTCCTCCTGCTGCTCGCGGGGGCCCTGGCCCTGACCGAGACCCGGGCGGGTGAGTGCGGGTCGGGAGGGAGACGGGCTCTGCGGGGCAGGAGCGAGGGGAGCGCGGAGGGGACACAGGACCCCGGGGAGCCGCCTCTCCCAGACCTCACACCCCCTACACCTCGCCATCTCACCGACCCCGGCTTATTCAAGACCCTCCCCTCTCCTCGCCGCCTCATCTCGCGGTCCCCACACTCCCTTAGTCTCCGCCCCAACCCAGTCCGCACTCCTGGGTCCCAAGGGTCCCGCTCCGGGCGGGGTCGGCCCTGGTCTCAGCCCCTCTCTCCCCCAGGCTCCCACTCCCTGATGTATTTCCACACCGCCGTGTCCCGGCCCGAACTCGGGGAGCCCCGCTTCATCTCCGTGGGCTACGTGGACGACACGCAGTTCGTGCGCTTCGACAGCAACGCCGAGAACCCAAGACAGGAACCGAAGACATCGTGGATTCGGCAGGTGGAACCCGAGTACTGGGACCGGAACACGCAGATCTCCAAGAACAACGCACAGTTTTACCGCGGGAGCCTGAACACCCTGCGCGGCTACTACAACCAGAGCGAGGCCGGTGAGTGACCCGACCCTCCCCACGTGCGCCCAGGGCGCTCCGGGTCCCCGGGGCCGAGGTCCCCCACCCCGAGACTGCGCGCCCCGCGGAGACCCTCGGCGGGAGGAGCCGCGGGACACGCCCGGGTTTCGCTTTCGGTTTCAGCTGAAATCCCCGCGGGTCGGTGAGGGCGGGGCGGAGCTGCGTGGCCAGGGCTGACCGCGGGCGGGACAGGCTCTCACACCTTCCAGCACATGTATGGCTGCGAAATCGGGGAGGACGGGCGCCTCCTCCGCGGGTACGGGCAGTGGGCCTATGATGGCAAGGACTACCTCGCCCTGAATGAGGACCTGCGCACCTGGACCGCGGCCGACATGGCGGCTCAGAACACCAAGCTCAAGTCGGAGGCAGCGGGTGCTGCTGAGCACTACAGGGCCTACCTGGAGAGCACGTGCGTGGAGTGGCTGCGCAGACACCTGGAGATGGGAAAGGACACTCTGCAGAGAGCAGGTGCGCGGGGCTGGGAGGGGCCGCCCTCACCCACCTCCCCCGGGGCTGGGGCAGCAAGGAGGGGAGGAAAGCGGGAGCCAGGCCAGTGTACCCCTCTCCTGCCGGCCACAGCAGGGACGTCCACCTGGGTTTTGGGCTCAGTGCCAGAGACCCACTGTTCCCTCAGGAGAGGAGGATCCCAGGGAGGGACACGGGCGGGGTGGGGGAAAGGCACAGAACATTCTGGAAAGGACCCTCTCAGTACCCTGCACTCAACCAAGATTTTGTGAACTGTCGCCCCTCCAGGCCAGTTCCTCAGCCTCAAGCCAGTGAACTGGGAGGTTTCATTCCAGGCTATCTTCCCCTCAGACACCTGGGCCCTCCTACCCTAGCCAGATACTTGATTCTAGAACTTTCCAAACACTACATTTATCGCATTGTCTTTATCCAGGCAGGGTCAGGGTTTTGACGTCCTCCACCACCCCATTTACCCTGTCCACTCTCAGGAAGGTCACTGAGTGTAACTTTAGTGTCAGGGGAAGAACATGAAAGGCCTGAATTTTCCAAATCTCCCCTCAGACCCACCCACAGCACATGTGACTCACCACCCAGTCTCTGACCAGAAGGCCACCCTGAGGTGCTGGGCCCTGGGCTTCTACCCCAAGGACATCACACTCACCTGGCAGCGGGATGGGGAGGACCTGACCCAGGACACAGAGCTGGTGGAGACCAGGCCTTCAGGGAACAGAACCTTCCAGAAGTGGGCAGCTGTGCTGGTGCCTTCTGGAGAGGAGCAGAGATACACGTGCCACGTGGAGCATGAGGGGCTGCCTGAGCCCCTTACCCTGAGATGGGGTAAGGAGTACGGGAGAGATGGAGTCTCCAGCAATAGTGGGAATGAGACCAGGAGTCAGAGCCCCTTTTTGTCCCTTCCCCTCTCAGAGCCTCCTCAGCCCACTGTGCCCATGTGGGGAGTCATCGCTGGCCTGGTCCTCCTGGCAGCTGTGCTCATTGGAGCTGTGGTCACTGCTGTGATGATGAAGAGGAAGCGCTCAGGTAGGGCAGGGTGAGGGCTGGGTCTGAGTCCCCTGTCCCCCAGGGAGATGGTCCCCCTACCCCGTTCCTGGGAAGCACTGTGCACACACACCTGCACCCCCAGCTGAGCCCCAGGTGCTCACACTGGCTCTAGTGTAAACCTTGAGTGAAGGTGGAGAACAAACACTCCAGGGGATGACTCTGCTCACAGGGACCTGAGTTCCAGCAGCCCTAGGTCAGGGGGAGGTCCCAGCTGAGGACACACCTCCAGGGGAGGTGCCTCCTAACCTTTCCTGGGTCTGTAGCCACAGTTCTGGAAACTTCTCTGAGATGAGCCAGTCCTGAGTCCCTGCCTTCTCCCTGCCTCTCACTGGATGTTTTCTCTCACAGGTGGGAAAGGAGGGATCTACACTAAGGCTGCAGGTAAGCACTGGGGTGTGTTTGGGGTGGGGGAGTCCCCAAGGCTCTTGCTCTAGTCATTTGCCCCTGGAGGTGCTGCCCACCCACCCTGTAGCTCATCCCTCAGCCACACCCTCCCGGCCTCTCACCAAGTCCTGATTGGTTCTCCCAGGTGGAGACAGTTCCCAGGGCTCCGACTCCTCTCTGAAAGTTTGAAAGGTGAGACCTGGAGGGCCCAAAGGGGAGAGGGACCTGGGTGAGGGGACACAGAGGGGCTGGGGGATTCCTTGAATCTGGACATTTTTACAGTGTGCTGTGCTGTTCCTGTCCCCAAAAACAATGACCTCAAATTTTCACCTTGTGTCTGTAGTGTGAGACAACAGCCTTGTTGGGACAGACCTGCTGAAGTCCCCATCTTGGTTTTCTTCAAAAAGCCCCACCCTCCCTTCCTGCCAAGGCAGCTGAGTGTGTTCCTGTGGGCACAGTGTGAGGTGGGAGCCTGGCCCTCCCAGCCCAGCACGGGCACCTCTGACCCTGTCTCAAGTCAGATGCATCTGCTGCAGCTTCATCCTACACTGTGCAATTCATTTTTAACAATTCCAATCACCAGGTGTTGGTGAGAAAATTAAAAGAGGAAATTACAAAAATTTGGGGGTGGGGAGTTTGGGGAGGGGTTGGGGGGAATCCCAGTGCCTATAAAATTGTGTCACACAATGCAATGAAATAATAAAATTTGACAGAGAGAAATAAACAGAACCAGGAACCTTCCAGAACCTGTGTTTCCTGTGTTGAGTCTGTTGCAGGTGGGGACAGGAGAGGCTGGGAGGCTCTGGGTGAGGATGAGGCTGTGCCCAGGCAGTGCTCCATCCATCATGCTTTCTCTTAGTCACTGCTGACCTGGTTCAGCTGCCCCTGTGTCCTGGTCTCTCTGTTAGGACATGCCCACCAACAACTGCCATCACAGCACTCAGCCATGGCTAGGCTGCCCTGTCTCATGGCCCAAGGCAATGGAGGCTACATGGGGCCAAGGCCGCCAAATCTAGGGCTTAAGTTCATCCCTCAGCTCCATCTTCCTGTGTTCACTTTGTTCCTTAGTGTCATTGGCTGATTGTATCTACTCTTCCTGTGTGTGAGCTCTGGTGGCCTTCACTTCTGTGTGTGCAGGACACAGTGTAGGAGGGAGACAGGAGGGCAGAGGACACTTGTGAGAAAGCTCAGGCCATGGGGACACCAGCAAGAGGGGACCTGCTCTGCAGCAGCCACAAGTGGCCTCTGTCTCAGACTCCACTAATGAACCATGGGGTCTGGAAGGGCAGGTGCTACATGCTCATCACTCAGCTGACTTTGCTGTGGGTCAAACTCAGTGCTGGGCAAGGTGGTCCAGGGTGGGTGTGAGGGCCAGAGCAGCTGGCTGTCTCACCATCATGGTCAGTGTGCACTATCCCGAGGGGATGACCCTGAGTAAGGTTGGAAGGACACAGTTAGTCATCTGCAAAGAAGTTGTGGGGGAGGAGGACGGCCAGTGCAGATGCCCTGGGCAGGAGTGAGTCTGCACACAGAGCAGGGAGCCATCAGGGAGGCTGGTCGGGACACCGCCATCCAGCAGGCTTCATGCACACTGAAAGACTGGGCCCTGGCTCTGAGTGAGATGGGAGCCATGAGGCAGCTCTGAGCGTAAGAAGGACATGTGCACATTCTGTCCAGGGACCACCCTGGCTGCTGCGTGAGGACGGGGCTGAGAGACTGTGAGGCTGGATACATAGATCTAGGGGATCCTGTGAAGCCCAGACAGGGATGCCAGTCACTGTGGTGGGTGTGGGCATGGGCAGAGTGGGAGATGAGGTTCTGGATCCTTCTGCAGCTGGATGCACAGCACTTCCTGTGGACTGCATCCAGGGAAAGAGAAGGAGGCGAGGAGGACACCCAGGGCTTCAGGCCGAGCCAGTGTGGGGATGGCATCACCGTAGGAGAAGGTCACACTGGGAGGGTGCATTCCATAAGGGACCACCCAGGCATTCAGTGCAGAAACCAGGATGTTGGTGAGAAGTGACACTGCAGGGCTGGCAGTGACCACGAGGAGAAGAAATGTCTGTGTGGGAGACTCACTGAGGACTTGGCTTCACATGAACCACATTTGCATTCAGGAGCAGAGATGGAGCACCCAGGGAGTGAGTGAGAATCATGAGAGAGGGTACAAGAAGGAGCACTGGGTCTGCAGGGCTAAGTCGAGGGTGAGAGAGAGGGGGTAAAACCACAGCCCCACTACCTGCAGGGCTCGGGTCACTGGGAGAACGAGGGTCCACAGACATGTTGAGGGGATTCCATGAGCACTGGGAGGGCTAGGAAAGTCTTGAGCGGTCAAGCGGTCTGCAAGTGGCTCAAGTGGGTGCTGATGGCACCACCTCCAGAGCACACTCTGGCAGCAGGAGGGAGACAGGACTCCCACCTGGACCTCAGCCTCCCCTGAAGGATGGTCACATGAGCACACCTGGGCCCTGGACACCACACAGTGAGGGGCTACTCTGGCAGAGATCTGGGTGCAAGCAGCCTAGTTTACAGCAGTGTTGCTTATGATCCAGGTTTACTAAGTGGGAAACACATATACCTGGTTCGGAGCCACACCTTCCCCTGACCTCTGACCTTCTCTATGCTGCTGTGCTGGGCAGTGGTGCCTGGCAGGGAAGGGAGTCCCAAGTCCAGTCCTCACCCTCACTGGGCACCTTCCTGTTTAGCTGGGATGTCGGGGGGAGGGGCTGTCATTACATTCTTACCTTGTGATGTTTCAGCTCCCAGTGTTCACATCCAGACAGGGCACAGCCAAGGTCAAAGGTGCCTGTGTTCTCTGAGAGCCACACAATCAACACCACTGTCACCCACACTGGGAAACCCTGGGCCTGTGGACAAAGAGCACTACAAGATAGGGGAGGCATAAAAAATTGTTTTTATTTATTTGAAGATTTTCTTTTCATCTTTTTGAAAAGGAGAGTGTTCTCCCATCCTCTGGCTCACTCCACAAATGTCCACACTGCAGGGGGGTGGGTCACGCCAAAACCCAGAGCCCAGAACTCAGTCCAGGTGTCCTGGTGCATCATCTGCTGCCTCCCAGGACGTGCACTGGGTGGACGCTGGATTGGAAGTGGAGCCAGAACCCCAAGAGAACACTGAGAGTGGATGAGGTGTCCCATGGAGACACTCCTGGGCAGCCCTGGAGGAAGGTTCAGGAAGAGGCCACAGCTGAACACACAGAACCTCCCTGGATCCTGTTGCCTCACATGGTGCCCCACATGGATTCTCCCTCCTTGGAGCCCACAATGAAATCTAGGAGCTTCTCATTTGCCCCTCACCTGGCTCTGTGACACTGTAGCTGATTCAATGAAGAGAAAATACAGAGACCATGGTCAGGAGCAGAATCCATGGCCTCACTTTGGGTGGTCCCAGCTGGGAACCAGATCCCTACTGCTGGGCACAAAGGCACAGCTCACACCCCTGACCCTGACGCTGGACCCGGGCCTGCACCAGGACTGCTATCCCTGGGACCCTGGTTTTAACATTAGAGATGTTGCTGACAGTCTGGAGGTCCTGATGCTGCAGCTCTGAGGTGTGATAGAAATGCTTCTGTTGGGGCACAGCATGGTGGCCCAGTAGCTAAATCCTCACCTTGCATCTGCTGGGATCCCATAGGGGTTCTGGTTCATGTTCTGGCTGTTCTGCTTTCCATCCAGCTTCCTGCTTGTGTCCTGGAAAAGCAGGAGAGGATGACCCAAAGTCTTGGAACCCTGCACCCATCTGGTAGACCTGGAAGAAGCTCCTGCCTCCTGGCTCTGGATTGTCTCATCACTGGCCATTATAGCCACTTGGGGAGTGAGCCAGCAGATGGAAGATCTTTCTCTTTGTATCTCCTTCTCTCTGTAAATCTGCCTTTCCAATAAAAAAATTTTTTTTAAATCACATCAATGAAAGAAGTAGAAGAGACAAAACAATGGAAAAAGTATTCCAACATCCAGGCTTAGAAGGGTTAATATGATTAAATCATCCATGGTGCTCCAAGCAACTTACATATTGAATTTGATCCCAATAAATTTGTCGACGACTTTGTCCACAAAGAAACAAGATCAAACAAAACTCCAGATTAGCAGGAGATGAGAAATAAGAGGCAGAGCCACGTAAGTGAAAGTGAAACTAAGAGAAGTGTGAAATATTAACCAAAACAAAAAAATGGCTTGAGAAAAATAAGATAGTCAAATATTTAGCCAGGCTAACAAACAATGTTATCAAAACTCTGATAAGTAAAATTACAAATTAGGGCCCAGTGCTGTGGCCTAGCGGCTAAAGTGCTCACCTTGAACGTGCTGGGATCCCATATGGGCCCTGGTTCTACTCCCAGCAGCCTGCTTCCCATCCAGCTCTCCCTGCTTGTGGCCTGAGAAAGCAATCGAGGACGGCCCAAATCTTTGGGACCATGAACCCACATGGGAGACCCGGAGGAGGTTCCTGGTTCCTGGCTCCGAATCGGCGCAGCACCAGCTGTTGCGGTCACTTGAAGAGCAAATCATCGGACAGAGGATCTTTCTCTGTCTCTCCTCCTCGCTGTATATCTGACTTTGTAATAAAAAATAATTAAACATTATTATTATTATTATTATTATTATTATTATTATTATTACCCTCCTCCAAAGCAGGGTCCCAAGACCTTGGGCCATCCTCTACTGCCTTCCCTGGCCACAATCAGGGAGCTGGAGGGGAAGTGGAGCTGCCAGGGTTAGAACCAGTGCCGACATGGGATCCGGCTCATACAAGGTAGAACTTTGGCCACTAGGCCACTGCTCCAGGCCCAAAAACAAATCTTAAAACAAAGAAAGCCAAAGAGCCTGGTGCTGTACCCTAGCGGCTAATGTCAGAAATCCCACACCCACTGGTTCACTCCCCAGATGGTCACTGAGCCAGGGCTGGGCTAGCCTGAAGCAGGATCCACCAGCTTCCTCCTTCTCCCCGATGGCTGCAGGGTCCCAGCACTCAGGCCAGCTTCTGCTGCACTTCCAGGCACAAGGGCAGGGAGCTGACTGAGAAGTGGAGCACACAGGACTCTGTTCAACAGCCACATGGGACACTGGCATTGCTGGCAGCAGCTTTCCATGTTACACCACAATGCCAGCCTCTCATAAGAAACCTTCAGAAATAATTAACTCCTTCAACGTATAAGTTCGACTCAAATAAAAACAAAGCCTCCAAGCACGTGAAGACTTATGGCTGATGACACCTGAGTACTGTAAGTGATATTTTAAGGTCAGTTAAACTTGGGGTATCAAAGCATCTAACACACCTGCAGCAATGTGAGAGAGGCAACAACACTGAGTAATATAGGACAGCACACACCAGCAGGTGCACCTTGCACGGTGCCTGAACAAACTCTCCTCTCACCTCCTTCCTGATTGTAAGGACCCAGGGAGACCCTTTAGGGCCTCTCATCCTCTCCTGCTCCCAGGCAGGCTCTGGTCCAATCTTGCTGCAGGCTCTGCTCCTAGCCCAGCTCAGGCTGCATCACAGGAGCTCTCTGCCACCACTGCCTGGCCTGGAGGGGCCTGTCCCTATGCAGCAGCCAAGTGGAGCCAGGAG